AAAATACAAACTACAGGAAAATAATTTTAAATAGATGCAACAGGAATTGAAAAGTATATACCGAGAGACCACATATCAATGGCTGTGTCGTACTGCAAACCCAAGAGGATTTCAGGTGATCGATAAAACCTTGACTGTATGTATTGATAAATACGATGACCAAGTTGACATGATGAGCCAAAATCGATTATTTTGATCGCAGAGCGTTTTGGATTACATAAAAGAACATTCTCGGGTTTCAAATCGCAATGTATGATATTCAGCTGAGGCGATGAAAGAAACATCAATGTACTGGCCAACTGAAACAAGAAGGATGGAAAGGATCGCAAAAAAGTGAAAATTTATATGTCTATTACTATTACCACTGGTATGAATAAATACTTGCTCTACAGTTCACTGCAGAGAAGGAAACTATATGTAGCCGTAAAGAAATCAAACTGTGCCATGTTTGTAGCCAAATTTATTAACTCACTGACTGTTCTGCAACTTGTCTATCATTGTCGATAAGCAATAGGAACTCCCGGTACAACTGAAGTGTAAAATGAAGCCCTCCGCTTCAAATCATATGACTCATCAGCTAATGGTAATCTCGGGTAGATGATCATCTACCCGAGATTGAAATCACAGAATATGATGAGCTGCGAGAGCGCAAGGACCTCTACATTCACTGAGTGCATTAAAATCGTATCACTAGTTAATTAGCAAATAAACAAACCTGTTGCCCAAACTTCCTTGTGAGATTGAGCGAAACACCATGGAAATCTGTGTTTCTTAATAAGTCGTACAAATTGTACGAAAGAAGTTCAAAAACAAGGCACAAGTGATTACGCCACATGAAATGAGTCTTCAGTTTCACTGAAATTAGAATCATTGGGGTATAACTATGAAAAATGCGCCTGAATTACCTAACATCACGTTTACCGAAAAACTTCCGAGAAACAGAAGAAGCATCTTTAACGATAAAAAGGCAAAAACTGGAAATACACTGTCCTTCTTCACTTCGTAAATTTCGAAATATCTTCTTAAAATTTCAATGCTACGCCGCTATCCGACTCCGAGACAAATTTTTGATTCTATATTTTCCAAATTCAACAAAATGGTATATAACATACCAACGTAATGTTTGCTTTCAGATTCTTGGCTATTCATCATTTCAAGTAACCGGATTTCAATTTGAGCTTGATCATGGAATGGTTTTTATTTTTAATAATTTTTATAGCGACGTCCTGCTGCTCCAAAGTATCATACGCTTTTGCAACTTGTCCAAAAGAGCCTTTACCAAGATGACATGCAATCTGATATCTGGAAAAGGCATCCACTGCTCAATAAAGTCTAACAGCTAACTATGAAAATGATGTCGATAAGAATAACCGATATATAGAAAGATAACAAACTGACCTATTGTTGAAAAGTTCACCAGGATGTATGATATAGTCATGATTTTCATCGTCATAACCGTTATTATGACTTCCAGAACGGGGATTTTCGACAACCTGAATTAATTTTGCTATAAAATCACTCCTACATTAAATCAAATTTTGAAACCTACCATTTACCGCGTCAGAGCTTACAAATTTACACGCTGCTATGCCAGGAACCATAACGTAACACCTCCACGTAAAAAAAAATCCTTGATTCAGCACTTTTTTATCATCCAATAATAATGTAAAGTAGTCCTCTGATGCTAAAGCAGATACATATACCCAAAATGATCTCATCGAGCTTCCACCCAAAAGTTTCCGGATATTAATAGTTAGCTTAATCTATTTCTGAAGTCATCCTGACATGTTCAGATCATTTCTAACTTGGAGAATTTTTCAATAAAAGGTAAAGGGATAACCTGCAGATGCAAATGATGCAACAGTGAAGGGATCGCAGCAGCTTGCGAAAACATCGAATGTTGAATTTGCTGTGAATGGTTTTGCTGTATCAAATTTGAAGCAATCTACAAATAAATCCTTATAGGAAATAATTCCTCAAAATTTTCAAATAACGCCAGTAACCCTTTCAACAAAAGGTCAAAAACAGCAGAAAGATCCTCACTTGTTGATTGAGTGAAATGGCCTGTTTGGGTGGTGGAGCAGTATGATGATGTTCAGATAGAGCTGTTGGATGAAGTCCATGTGTATGATGCTCTTGCTCATGCCGCCTTTTCGCCTTTCGTGCATAATAACTCTAAAATAATAGCAGGAAATTTGAAATTTCATTAAATGTTTTCTGTAGCTGTTGGAAGAAAAAGTTACTGTTTGAAAAAGATGTGAACGAATTTTTGGCAATAACATTCACCAAGACTGTGGAACTTGGTCAGCCTGAATAGAGACTAATTAATACAAATGCAAACCTCATTGATGCCTTTGTAGGTTTTGATCAAATCAACGCTTAGTTTTCTCAAAGGAGAAGTGGCGGATTCACGTTGTAAAGAGCGATTGTGAGCATTGTTCACAGTACTCTGTTGATGCGTAATGACAGCACCACTATGAGGATTCTGGGTAGAGGTGGATGGAATATGGTCAGCCATTGGGAAACCCATATGTGCCTGACTAGACAACAACAAACCAGAACTGTAAATAATTAGAACAGCAAATTATAGATGACTAACAAGCATAGATCATCGTTTCCATTCCATGATATACAAATGGAATAGAAGAGTAGAATTCTTCAAATCCATAAATTACTGCTCAACTACACTTTATAAATTGTGTATCGATAAAATGCTTATTCTCTCATTGTTTGCTATTTCTACTCTTTCACAGCTCGTTTTTGGCCAACATGGCTCCCTGTGGCCAATGACTCATATTTTGGTGGATAGCCCTGCGCTGTACGATGTCTTTAGCAATGTCAGACAATGACTTACTTATTGCTGAAAGACATGTTTGGAGAGTAGGCATTATTCGAATTCTGCAGCGAAGCATTCAAAAACGAGCCGCTATCAATGACAGAGGGTTGCACTGCGAATGACGCTGAGCTCTGCGTAGAGCTCTGCTGAGGCCAAGCTGACGATGTCGCAAACTGTAAATTATTAAACAAGAGAAAATTACACAATATTTTCCGGAAAGATGGCATTTCATTCTTTACTGATATACAGAGATGAAATCTGGAAATGATTAAATGGGAAAACCAACATTTGGATTTTGTCCAAACATGTTCGCTCTGCGATCGTATTCTAGCTTTATGTCCTGAGCAACCATCCTTTCCGGGCTCGTTTCACTGTTTACTATCGTCCATCAACCCACTTACCGGATATATGGGTGAGTGAGACAGAATGGAGTTTTTAGTTTCAATAAATGTACTATTCTTCGTATACGAGTTAAAATCCAGCCAATGAAAAGTCGGCAACCACTGAGCAATAACTTTTACGAATGTTTAAAAATGCTAAACATCTGGAGAATGACGGGCGCAGCAATACCAACACTCAGTTGGGTGACGAAATATGAGGCTCTCCAGGAATAAATTTAGACGCCGAAAGCATGAGGCGACATCACACCTGAAACATAAAAAGGCTAGTAAAAATAATTTGTTGGCACATATAACATGCAACACAAAACTTGGATATTTAAAACATTTCATAAATCGAATATGCTGTTCATTATGAAATTTTTACCTTTTTTGCATGATGTAACTTCTTTTACCTCCCTCTCTCCCTTTCCAGGTCTGCTATCCCTTGAAATATTAGTGCGCTGATACTAACCAAGGTGATGGAACTATTCATGAGCAATTCGATTTGCCATTATGGAAATTTGCGATAATATGGTTATCATAATTAAAAATTCTGGGGTTCTACAAATCCGAGGCTCTTCACTCTAATCCTTACCAACCGATCTTATTTGTCTGCCTCAAAAAATCACGTTAGTCCTATTTTCCATTGAAAATAACCCGCCGTCCACGTCATTTTTCTTTTTATCTGATGAGCAAATCACCCCTCTCAGTAACAAGGGTAAAAAAACAGGTTTAAATTCACCAAAGTTTGCTTTCCGGCATCATTTTAATGGAATTAAAAAGTTTGACTTCAATCTTGCAATACCCATAACCGACACTTCACGCCCCAAATAGTCCACATACTGTAAAGCAGCATTTTGAACAAACTTGAAAGATATAAAAGTAAATTAGTTCTATTGCTAACCGTAACATCTAACTTCAACATCGGACAATGTGGCGTGTTTCCTTCTGAAATAAACTTTCGCAGGTCACTTGACCACATTATTCTCCTTTTCTACAAATCAGACTGGTTGAACTACTTGGCCACTGACGACCAATCTGTGTAATGCCTTCTTGGTATACCAAAAATTTGCAAAATATGTGGCTATGATTTTAATACCGCCTGAGTGATATCACCTTGCTGAGATCATCAGGCTCAGTTGCCAGAGAGTCCAAGATAGTTGGGTAATTCGCACAAAAGTTTGGCATAAATGCATATCAATGTCATTGTACTGCAAAAGGAACAATCTTCAAATTATTCTTCATGTCTACAATGTTATCCAATCAGACATCTGCAAAACTACCGCGAAAGGGAAAAAAAGAAGGGGTGAGGTAAGAAGAAATGAGGTGACAATGTCCGAGCAAGCTGTCACAATGCCACTGAGAAATGTGTCACAGTGAACGATCCGATCGTAATTCAAATGAATGCACGAATTAAGAATGAAATAGCTAGCTTTGGTGTGCTAAAGATGACGTGCGTATGCACTGTTCACGACGTGATATACGTTTAACATTAGACTATCTTTTACGATAATAATCATAGAGAGAGAGAGGGAGGGGGAGAGGGAAGAAGGGAGAGAGAGAAGGAGAGAGAAAGAGGAATATTAATGAAGCATGATATGGCGAATGAACAGGCGTTAATGAAAAAGTGTTCTGTGAGGGAAGCCTAGGAGAATGGGGACAAAAGTTGCATTCCGAGCAAACTCACTTTGCGTACCCTAAATGCTCATTCGGAATGCATATAGCTTGCATAGGTAAATGCATGCCTACGTGCATGCACTGCAAACAGAGATATAGAAAAGACACGGATCTGCATGCACATCATGCATACGTATGTGTGTGCTTGCAGTGTTGGCTGTATGTGTGTCTGGTTTATGTTAGTTTTAAAAACACTGATGGTATATCGATGAAGTGGTCCGTCTTCTAATGGACGTACGTCATCAGTCCCGATCAGACAGAGTTATTATCCACTTCTCGGAGATGGTAGTAGAAACAGAAGCTAACCGGAAGTGCCTTTCTTAATGAAAGGATGAGGAGAAATGAGCCAGACAAGACAAATACATCAAGCTATAGCAAACTGCTAATCGCCTGAAGCTTTCCTGCTACTACTATCATCCTTCCAGTATTGCTCAATGCTCTGTTTCAACTCTTTCAGTTATCGTTAGTTGAAAACATCGCAGAATCTCAGATTGGTAAATAAAATTTAAAGAATAAATTTAAAGAATAAATTTTCGCAAAAAAAAAAGAAATGAATATATATTATGAGATAAAAAAATGTTACGTGTCTTTGATCGGATTTAAGATAGGTGCAAAAAAAATGTCAACAAGAAAAAAGTAAAAAATAAAAATTTAGGACCAATCAGTGTGTTTCAACAATTAGTAAGGATTGTGATGCATCTTTCACTCCTTCTTTTTTCTCCGTTGTTACGGGGCTTATTTTCATTTGAAACAATTTCTAACAAACTTACAACAGCGGAATAAACAATTAAAACATAAAATTAATGAAAATTTTAAAACAGCCAAGCAGAACAGAGTCAAAGACAATTATTTAATTAAAAAATGATGAAGCTAGAAGTTCCACCTTTCATACTGTGTTTTACAACTGATTCAAAGGCAACTAATGTTTTGAAATGAACAATAAATCACTGCTGAAGATAATTGTTGCGGATGAAAATATGTATAAAAGTGACTATATGTATCGAATTGATTAAACTTACACGGTTTCCAGTTTTAATGCTTCCGATCCCTGATCTTTATGCGCTTCTGAAGAAAACTTTGGAGTGCCACGGAGTGTATACCAAGTGTACTAAAGGTTTGCCTTTTGAATTGTAGGCTATCGAATGGTATTATTTAGCACAAAAATATCCAGGAAAGTTGGTAAGACAATGGGAAAAATTTCATAAAAAGTGGATATACTTCTTTGATCCTATTCAATCAACTTTTATTCTCAATTTGTACTTTACTGACGGTAGATAAATGGATGAGCACTTGTACCTTAGATCTAAATTAAAAGTACACTAATTATCGGAGTTATGGAATGTTTTCAATTCGGATCCACACATAAAGCACCCCTCCCATAGCTTCCATTTATCAATCTGAGAAGTATTTTCCAATATACTTGAAAAAAAACTTTGTTTGGATTTCTTGGATGAAAGTCATCTTTCATTTACTTCAGTATTGGTCAATTTATAATAGTTTTGGTTGAGACAAAACAACAATTTGGTGCTATTAGAGGATAATTCAGGATTCCATTTGTTTGTATTCAACTGGTAGCAAATTGATAAGGATCCAGAAAAAAAAAGCAAAATTTTCCATTGTCAGGACACGGCAAAAAAGAAGTTATAACATCGAACTTATCGTTTTTCATGACTGTACCGCTGTGGTACTTCGCATTGCACTTTAGATTACAAAATCCGGAAGTGATGCAAAATAGTAAATGATGACAGAAAATAGTGAATTCAGACAGCCCAAGACATGACGACTTTCAGCAAATGAAGAGAATGGGAAAACACGGGAGCACCATAACAAACTATTAGCTGTAGTGGCTTAACAAAATTCCTATATCACTAATCCAGAACCTGCATCAAAATGCTGGAATTATTGAGTCATTCAAAATAATCAACTTCCTGATAGTTTATATGGTAGCAGTCATCTAACGGATTACTTTATTCCGCTTTTTGCTTAGGCTGTCAGCGAAATACGAAGAGAATACTGATTTACGTCGAAGCAGCGCGATAAGAGTAAAGAACGACGTCTGCTATTAAAATCTCGTAATGAATCGAATTTCATCGATCAGAAACACTCCACCAAATACGAAGCAATTCACCATCAGTCGACAACCTTGTATGAAATGATATATCAGAAGAAACAGTTGGAAAAGGAAAAGCGATTGAGATGATGATGGAAGGGGACAGAACAAAATGATTGTTAGTGTGATGGTTGTGCTGCACAATTCAAACTGCAAAGTCGAAAAAACAAAGGGGACAGCTGCTTTCCCTCACCAGCCCACCATCTGAAAAATGTGGCCATTCTTCCCGTTGCCAAATGATAACTCACATCTTTGATATCAGTAGTGAGCTACTACATCTAAAAAAGCCCTTTACATCTTGAAAATTCTCAAATCATATGACTTTCAGGTGTTTTTCTAACAAAAAAAAAGTAGCTCCTTCTGTTCTAAACTTAATTTTAGAATACGATATTCTTCTGAAGATTTGCTCGCGTTGCTCCGGAAAACGAAAAGCATTTATTGAAGATCTGTCAATCCATTTTTGAATGTTTTCATTTTCTGTAGCTATTGTAAAGGATTCATCATTTTTACTTCTCTCATTTCATATCCATCTGAAGAAATGTTCTCGAGGCATCGATCATCGGTGTATACTTCTTTTATTGTATCAATTATCAACATAATTAAATCATTGTTTTATATATATATATATATATATATATATATGTATATATATATATATATAATAAAGTAATTAAAGTTTA